GAACTTGTTCGTTATGCTTCAGAATATTGGAGAGTGATGAGAATTAGGCTGGGGGTGGATTAATGATTGTACATTGAGCACTGACTCCCCTATACAGAATTTTATTGTTGTTAACAACCATTTGATCAAGAAATATGAGAGATGTGCTCTCAAAAAAAAAAAAAAGGTTGAACTTTTCATCTGTCCCCACTCTCACTTCTACTACTGACCTCCCTTAAGGAAAGAGGACCTAGAGGTTGAATCAATTGCCAATGGCCAATGACTTAGTTAATCATGACTATGTAATGAAGTCTTCATAAACACCCCGAGGAGAGATTTTTGTTCCTCTTCCCTTTTTGGAGGGCTTCCACTCTTGGGGAACCATAACGGATGTACAAGCCACCAAGCCAGGTCCGAAGCTCCACGAGGACAAAAGCTCCTTTGTTCAGGACCTTGATGTACATATCTCTTCATGTGCTTGTTGCCTTGTATCCTTTATCATATCCTTTGATAAACTGGTAAATATAAGTGCTCCCTTGAGTTCCGTGAACTGCAGGAGCAAATCAATTGAAATTAAGGGGGAAGTTATTGGAACATCCAATCTGTAGCCAGTTGGTGAGAAGCACAGATAACAACAGCCAGGGGTTTGTGACGACTGGTGTCTGACGTAGGGGATGGAAGGGCAATCTTATGGGACTGAGCCCTCACCTGGGAAATAAAATGCTATCTCCAGCTGAGTAGCTTCAGAATTGATTGAATTCTTGCACACCAGTAGATGTTGTGTGTATGGGGCACCCCCAGCCCCTGCCACACACACGCTGGAATTAGGTCTTGGAGCCCTAAGTGAATAACTTGATATGCAGCAGAACTAAATCCACGGATACATGTTTATTTATAATAGGATTTGCTGAACACCATCATGGCAAGGGCAGTAGTAAGAACTAACAGACATAAGCTTGAGAGGCAGTTATAAGGTAGTAAAGAACACAGACTGGAGCCCAACTCTTTGGTTTAAACTCTGGCTAATACATCAATATTTTGTTTAGCAAATTATAGCTAATTTGACTATAAAGACTAGAGTAACATCTGGGGAACAAGGCTATCTGAATTCAAGACTCAGATGCTGTCCCTGAACCTAACCACATGTCACCTTGGCAAACTGCTCAAATTTCTAAGGCATCAGGTTGCAGATCTGTAAAATTGAGAGGGTTGAAGTCTGATTACCGTGCTTAAATGTATAAAGTACTTTCTGAGAATCTTTCAAATCCTCATGCTCTTCAAAGAGCAATCAGACTTTCCCCTTTCTGTATAGTCTGAACAAGGTTTGAGAATCTCAGTGTATAAAGTCATCCTGAACAAAATGTTATTATTTCCATTTTGGAGATGAGAAGATAGAAGTCTAGCAAGTTTGAGTAATTTGTTTAGAATCACATGGCTAAATGAGTGGTGAAGCTGGTCTGCCAATTCTAAAGCTATTTTCTACTTTCTGTAAGTTCTGTCATTAGACTTGATTTCTGTACAGCAGGCCCAGATCATAAACACTCTGCATCTATGTATGTACCCATGCAGCTCTCACTGATATTTCTAAGTTGACACTCCGAGCTGTCATTTGTTTAGCTCTTTCCCATTTCAGCACTCCATTTCCTCATTATTGATGGTGTTGTCAGCCCATATGGTCTCACTCCCATTTCTCACTCCTGTTAAATGTCTCCTACATGTCTGTTTTCTAGCAGTAACTCCTGACTTTTATCTAAAATAAAACTGTTATTGTACTTGCTCATTTCATCTACTTTACAATGAAAAATAAATAAATACATGTAAAGTTGGTACTAAAATGATAATAAACAACAAAGGATAAAACAAATTATCAGGAAAGTAAAAACTTGTCATTATTTTCCATTTTCTCTTAGGTCTTTATGAGACAAAAGATGACTTTCATGTCTAACCACTGCAACAACCTAAATCATGTTAACATCACATTATCATCTTCTAAAGGAATTCTACATGAGTATTTGAGTGGAAAAATAGTATTTAATAGTTTCAGAATACAGAAACAGCTCAAGAGAAACTGACACCAGTGTATGTATATTTGAGGTAATATTCATATAACTAGCAATTTTCAGTGATGGGAAACACTGCTTTTTTTGGATATGTTATACATTAACTTTCTAAGTCAACAATTCTACACTGTTGTAAAGTAATTTCAGTTCAGAGCTATAGCAGTTATGTAAATAGATGTAAACTTCATTCCTAGGTAAAATTTATAAAAAGGTAGAACTCTTACTAATTATGTATTATTAACACAAATGTCAACAAAAACAGTCCAACCGGTGCAGAAGCACAGTAACAAAAACATAATTATCAATATAGTTGCTCTCCGAGAGTAAATTATAGTACTATCAGGCCTAAAAAACCAACTTAGGTCATTGTTTTTGTTTTTTGCCTTTCTGATTCTTCCCTGTAAATACAGTGGTTAATTCTGACCATTTATCTTTATTTCATCACCTCATGAACAAATTTGCTGATACTGAATACTACTTTCAAATGCATTATCATCACCATCTGATTAAATATATTACTATTATTATTATTGGAAACTCATCAAAGCTTTTGTCTTTAAATGGTTTCATGCAATTAAAGTCTAATTTTTGAACTAACTGGCTAATGAATTCTTCCTTTTATTGGTAAAGAGCCATCATACACCAGTGTGACTATCAATATCTAAGTAAGATATTTAACATGCTTATTATTTTACTACAGAGCTGAAATACAGACTTTACAATATGCATAAAGCATCAGATTTGTGATAATGTATTATGATAACAGCCTGTGTGTGGCATTAAGAAACTGTTGGCCAGTCATAGACAGTACATTTTCCTGAACTGAATTTCAAATTTTCTGGAGGCTAACATGGTAACAAATATACCATCCTGACACAGAGTATCACAGTCTTCTTTCATAGAGTTCACAGGGCTTTCTTAGAGCCTTTCCCTGAGTGATCCTGCAAGAAAAAAATATGACTTGGGTAATTCTAGCAAAGAGTGAGAAACAGAGTCATAGATGAGACAAGGAATTTTACAAAACATTCTCTTTTCTGTGTATAGTTACTAGTTATGAGAATAATCAAATGTTAAAATACAGGTTGAGAAGGTCTCAAATTTTAAAAACTACAAAATTTGTGGGTTTTACTTAAGAAAATTTCTGGAGGGAAACTATAACACTCTTAAGATGTTCATTTTTAAAAAAAATTAAGGTATCACTGATATACAATCTTATGACGGTTTCACATGAGCAACATTGTAGTTACTGCATTCATTCATATTATCATGTCCCCCCCACCCATTGCAGCCACTGCCCATCAGCACAGTAAGATGCTACAGAGTCACTGCTTGTCTTCTCCGTGCTGGACTGCCTTCCCCGTGACCTACCTATATCGTGAGTGCTAATTATAGTGCTTCTTAAGAGGTTCAATTTTTTTCCTGCCTTAATCTGTTTTGCTTTTGTTTTACAGGTTATACCAGAGAAACAAAATTTCTAAAACTCCCCTCTTGCAAACCCAATTAAAATTTTTGGCAAAGAAAGAATGAAGGGAACCAAAAAGCCCAGATGGGGTGGTCTTTTTGTTGTTATTGTTCAGATACCTGCTAACAGAACTGGCTTCCTTCTCAAGTCATTCTTTGCTGATCACAACATGACTATATCATTTAAAACTGGAGGAAAATGAAGACATGCACAGTCGCAGGGGGGCCATCAGGTGAGAAATTGGGGATCAACAGAGGTGAGACTTAGAACCTCACCCCCCCTGTTTTGAGAGAAATCTTCTGCATCCGTGGGTGTTTTATTGCTCTTGTCTAGCTTGGATTAACACTTAGTCTACAGGCACACACCTCATCATCTACATTTGCTCTCTTACAACACTAAACTATGTTTTCTATCTTTATCTTGCATCTACCTACCACTTCAGCATTTTATTAAAAAAAAAATAATAATAAAGGGAGAAATGTGGGATTCACATATAAATCAAGTATAAAAATCAAATGAATATTCATATTTGACCCTATTGTTTATAGTTTATAATGCGTGATCAAACCCAAAGTTTCTGTGATGACTGCCCTTGTACTGTTCACCATGTAAGAACTTATTCACTATGTAAGAATTTGTTCACCATGTAAGAACTTGTTCGTTATGCTTCAGAATATTGGAGAGTGATGAGAATTAGGCTGGGGGTGGATTAATGATTGTACATTGAGCACTGACTCCCCTATACAGAATTTTATTGTTGTTAACAACCATTTGATCAAGAAATATGAGAGATGTGCTCTCAAAAAAAAAAAAAAGGTTGAACTTTTCATCTGTCCCCACTCTCACTTCTACTACTGACCTCCCTTAAGGAAAGAGGACCTAGAGGTTGAATCAATTGCCAATGGCCAATGACTTAGTTAATCATGACTATGTAATGAAGTCTTCATAAACACCCCGAGGAGAGATTTTTGTTCCTTTTCCCTTTTTGGAGGGCTTCCACTCTTGGGGAACCATAACGGATGTACAAGCCACCAAGCCAGGTCCGAAGCTCCACGAGGACAAAAGCTCCTTTGTTCAGGACCTTGATGTACATATCTCTTCATGTGCTTGTTGCCTTGTATCCTTTATCATATCCTTTGATAAACTGGTAAATATTAAGTGCTCCCTTGAGTTCCGTGAACTGCAGGAGCAAATCAATTGAAATTAAGGGGGAAGTTATTGGAACATCCAATCTGTAGCCAGTTGGTGAGAAGCACAGATAACAACAGCCAGGGGTTTGTGACGACTGGTGTCTGACGTAGGGGATGGAAGGGCAATCTTATGGGACTGAGCCCTCACCTGGGAAATAAAATGCTATCTCCAGCTGAGTAGCTTCAGAATTGATTGAATTCTTGCACACCAGTAGATGTTGTGTGTATGGGGCACCCCCAGCCCCTGCCACACACACGCTGGAATTAGGTCTTGGAGCCCTAAGTGAATAACTTGATATGCAGCAGAACTAAATCCACGGATACATGTTTATTTATAATAGGATTTGCTGAACACCATCATGGCAAGGGCAGTAGTAAGAACTAACAGACATAAGCTTGAGAGGCAGTTATAAGGTAGTAAAGAACACAGACTGGAGCCCAACTCTTTGGTTTAAACTCTGGCTAATACATCAATATTTTGTTTAGCAAATTATAGCTAATTTGACTATAAAGACTAGAGTAACATCTGGGGAACAAGGCTATCTGAATTCAAGACTCAGATGCTGTCCCTGAACCTAACCACATGTCACCTTGGCAAACTGCTCAAATTTCTAAGGCATCAGGTTGCAGATCTGTAAAATTGAGAGGGTTGAAGTCTGATTACCGTGCTTAAATGTATAAAGTACTTTCTGAGAATCTTTCAAATCCTCATGCTCTTCAAAGAGCAATCAGACTTTCCCCTTTCTGTATAGTCTGAACAAGGTTTGAGAATCTCAGTGTATAAAGTCATCCTGAACAAAATGTTATTATTTCCATTTTGGAGATGAGAAGATAGAAGTCTAGCAAGTTTGAGTAATTTGTTTAGAATCACATGGCTAAATGAGTGGTGAAGCTGGTCTGCCAATTCTAAAGCTATTTTCTACTTTCTGTAAGTTCTGTCATTAGACTTGATTTCTGTACAGCAGGCCCAGATCATAAACACTCTGCATCTATGTATGTACCCATGCAGCTCTCACTGATATTTCTAAGTTGATACTCCGAGCTGTCATTTGTTTAGCTCTTTCCCATTTCAGCACTCCATTTCCTCATTATTGATGGTGTTGTCAGCCCATATGGTCTCACTCCCATTTCTCACTCCTGTTAAATGTCTCCTACATGTCTGTTTTCTAGCAGTAACTCCTGACTTTTATCTAAAATAAAACTGTTATTGTACTTGCTCATTTCATCTACTTTACAATGAAAAATAAATAAATACATGTAAAGTTGGTACTAAAATGATAATAAACAACAAAGGATAAAACAAATTATCAGGAAAGTAAAAACTTGTCATTATTTTCCATTTTCTCTTAGGTCTTTATGAGACAAAAGATGACTTTCATGTCTAACCACTGCAACAACCTAAATCATGTTAACATCACATTATCATCTTCTAAAGGAATTCTACATGAGTATTTGAGTGGAAAAATAGTATTTAATAGTTTTCAGAATACAGAAACAGCTCAAGAGAAACTGACACCAGTGTATGTATATTTGAGGTAATATTCATATAACTAGCAATTTTCAGTGATGGGAAACACTGCTTTTTTTGGATATGTTATACATTAACTTTCTAAGTCAACAATTCTACACTGTTGTAAAGTAATTTCAGTTCAGAGCTATAGCAGTTATGTAAATAGATGTAAACTTCATTCCTAGGTAAAATTTATAAAAAGGTAGAACTCTTACTAATTATGTATTATTAACACAAATGTCAACAAAAACAGTCCAACCGGTGCAGAAGCACAGTAACAAAAACATAATTATCAATATAGTTGCTCTCCGAGAGTAAATTATAGTACTATCAGGCCTAAAAAACCAACTTAGGTCATTGTTTTTGTTTTTTGCCTTTCTGATTCTTCCCTGTAAATACAGTGGTTAATTCTGACCATTTATCTTTATTTCATCACCTCATGAACAAATTTGCTGATACTGAATACTACTTTCAAATGCATTATCATCACCATCTGATTAAATATATTACTATTATTATTATTGGAAACTCATCAAAGCTTTTGTCTTTAAATGGTTTCATGCAATTAAAGTCTAATTTTTGAACTAACTGGCTAATGAATTCTTCCTTTTATTGGTAAAGAGCCATCATACACCAGTGTGACTATCAATATCTAAGTAAGATATTTAACATGCTTATTATTTTACTACAGAGCTGAAATACAGACTTTACAATATGCATAAAGCATCAGATTTGTGATAATGTATTATGATAACAGCCTGTGTGTGGCATTAAGAAACTGTTGGCCAGTCATAGACAGTACATTTTCCTGAACTGAATTTCAAATTTTCTGGAGGCTAACATGGTAACAAATATACCATCCTGACACAGAGTATCACAGTCTTCTTTCATAGAGTTCACAGGGCTTTCTTAGAGCCTTTCCCTGAGTGATCCTGCAAGAAAAAAATATGACTTGGGTAATTCTAGCAAAGAGTGAGAAACAGAGTCATAGATGAGACAAGGAATTTTACAAAACATTCTCTTTTCTGTGTATAGTTACTAGTTATGAGAATAATCAAATGTTAAAATACAGGTTGAGAAGGTCTCAAATTTTAAAAACTACAAAATTTGTGGGTTTTACTTAAGAAAATTTCTGGAGGGAAACTATAACACTCTTAAGATGTTCATTTTTAAAAAAAATTAAGGTATCACTGATGTACAATCTTATGACGGTTTCACATGAGCAACATTGTAGTTACTGCATTCATTCATATTATCATGTCCCCCCCACCCATTGCAGCCACTGCCCATCAGCACAGTAAGATGCTACAGAGTCACTGCTTGTCTTCTCCGTGCTGGACTGCCTTCCCCGTGACCTACCTATATCGTGAGTGCTAATTATAGTGCTTCTTAAGAGGTTCAATTTTTTTCCTGCCTTAATCTGTTTTGCTTTTGTTTTACAGGTTATACCAGAGAAACAAAATTTCTAAAACTCCCCTCTTGCAAACCCAATTAAAATTTTTGGCAAAGAAAGAATGAAGGGAACCAAAAAGCCCAGATGGGGTGGTCTTTTTGTTGTTATTGTTCAGATACCTGCTAACAGAACTGGCTTCCTTCTCAAGTCATTCTTTGCTGATCACAACATGACTATATCATTTAAAACTGGAGGAAAATGAAGACATGCACAGTCGCAGGGGGGCCATCAGGTGAGAAATTGGGGATCAACAGAGGTGAGACTTAGAACCTCACCCCCCCTGTTTTGAGAGAAATCTTCTGCATCCGTGGGTGTTTTATTGCTCTTGTCTAGCTTGGATTAACACTTAGTCTACAGGCACACACCTCATCATCTACATTTGCTCTCTTACAANAAAAATAATAATAATAATACGGGAGAAATTTGGGATTCACATATAAATCAAGTATAAAAATCAAACGAATATTCATATTTGACCTGATTGTTTATAGTTCATAATGCGTGATCAAAACCGAAAGTTTCTGTGATGACTGCCCTTGTACTGTTCACCATGTAAGAACTTATTCACTATGTAAGAATTTGTTCTCCATGTAAGAACTTGTTCGTTACGCTTCAGAAGATTGGAGAGTGATGAGAATTAGGCTGGGGGTGGATTAATGATTGTGCATTGAGCATTGAGTCCCCTATACAGAATTTTATTGTTGTTAACAACCATTTGATCAATAAATATGAGAGTGCCCTCTCAAAAAAAAAAACTGGAGGAAAATGGGATAGAAATGGAACCTTTAGGGACCATCTGCACTAAAAAGTTAAAAGTCTACACTAAGGAAAAAAAGGCCCCTGAAGCAGCACCGTACAGGCTTGTTTGTATAGGGGCAGGTCATTAAGCTCTTGTTCAGGCTGAGCATTAATACTTTCAGAGAAACCTTAATAACATTCACTCTAAGCAACCAAATCCAGAAGTCAGGATTAAAGCAGGTATTTTTAATGATAAGGAACCACTTTCATGCATTTATATGTATCTTATCCTTCTAGATAAAAATCACAGCCTTAATGGAGGTGTTACTCTGGACAAGTCGTTTAAGTGAAGGGTGATTTTCCAAAATGAAATTTAAAATGTGGCAGCTACTCATGGGTATGTGCTGCCAATTACCCTTACTATAGTTCTGTTTTTTCTTTTCTAAGAGAGAGACAGCCAGGGCAAACAAGGAAAGGCAAAGACCACATTTTTCAAAGGGATTGTTTTCTAGTATTTATTTAGTGCCTATAACAGGGAGGGGACCAGATGGGGAAATCCAACAGATTTAAAAGATGCAAAGTGGGACTTTTTACAGTAAAGAAATCAGCTTTATCCTCTTCTACCTTTGTTTCCTTAATATTTTAACAGCATTTTGTAATTATTTTTATTTAAGTCAACTACTTAAAATTGAGAAAGCTAAGTTTCCCAAAGGACTTTTAGGATATAATTAAATTATTAAGGTTGGTTTGTCAATAGCAGTAAAATTCACGAAGGACAATTTTATCTAGCTTTTATTATAGATGATCTACCGCAATCTTTTGCATCTCAGGTAGAGTTCAGAAGATGAATACCCAAGTGTAAGAGTCACTTTTAAAGCAAATTTAAGAAAATGGCTCTCATTTAGTAACAACTAACTCTCAGAATCTTACACAGGTTCTCATATTGAACACTAGGGGGTGAGTAGGTGGATAGGAAAAAATGTCTGAGAAATAACTATAAGCATCTTCTGGTGGTATAGAGCTTCTCTGAGCTTTTCTTGTTTAACAACATTTAAAGTACTTTCTTGAACAGGATCTGGTTTAATGCTCCAGGCATTATAATCCTTATTTAAGTCATGAGGAAGACAAGGTGCACGGCTGTCAAATGATTCATCTGAAGTTTACAGAACTAGTAAACAATGGAGCTGAGAGTTTTGATTTCTTTAAACAGGTATTTATCAGCAGAATTGCCTTTATAGGTGATGAGAGAGTAGACACACCAAACAGTGTGGTAATGCACTTCAGGGATTAGCAAGAGCAAAAACCACCACCACTGGAGGGACAAGGGAAGAGATAGTGTTATGGGTCCCACGAGTGAGGGGCACTGGGTGGAAGCTGCCCAGGGGGCAGGGGGACCATGGAAAGAGACACAGCTGCTGTGTAGTTATCATCTAAAACCTGAAGCAGACAGAGTGAGAGGAATCTGTCTTTCCCCTCCTCCCCGCAGTCTGATGCTAGTGCCTCCCACTGGCTGAACCTGCCCAGAACTCAGAGAGCAAGGGATCCTGAGAAATGTAGCTCCTTGAGCTAGAACAGCAAAGTGGGAAGAGAACGGATCTGAGAACACAGTCAAATGACCAGCACAGGACAAAGAGCACAGTGGTTAATGATGGAGGTTCTGCAGAAAGATTTCCTGATTTGGATTCTAACTTTGCTGTCATTTTCTAGTTCAGTGATTTTGGGTACATTATATTATAACTCAGGGGCTTGTTTTCCTCATCCACATATTTGGGTATTAAAATATTTTCATTTAGTGGACTGTGATGGAAAATAAACAGGATGCATACATGAAGTCATTAGCTAAGTACTTGTCCAGAGCTACCTTCAATAAATGTCCATTAAATATTTCAAACACCTGGACACAAGCAAAAATTAGATCAAGGCCTAAATACACTATTGAACAAGATCCAACTCTAAGTATGGCACTTGTCACACCTGAGAAGGAGTCATTTTTAAAAGAAAGAGCTATAAAACAACTGCTTCTGTGGGAAGGCATCACTCATAAGTTTCTTTTTATCATCTTTTACCAAGAATTCTTGAGCTGCAAGCAGAAGTTTTTTTTGGAAAGGAAATGGGTGGAGGGATCTTACTGTCACATGTGTTCTTCAAGGACTAAGGACTAAGAGAATCGTTAGCTGTTACCATAATGGGGATATCAGCAATGGCTATGGACCAAAAAAAAAAATGAGGAATGTTCCTGCTTCTCTTCTCCATGTTTACGACTCTAAATGTCTCTGACACCAAGGCACTGTCCACCGGTGTGAGTACTCATCCTTGTTGAGTATACACTGACCTCACAAATGGGAGGGAAAAGAAGTTTTATCTAGGTGAGAGGTTTCTAAAGTGTTTCTTCACTTCCCATGGTGGATCTTGAAGGAGGCCATGGAGTAAATCTCATCATGGTATGGTGAAGCTAGCAATTTCAGGACCTCTGTTTTAGAGATGGGGAAAGGATAGTCTCTCTGAAAATCTACCTACCTACTCCAGACCATGTGCACTGACCTCTTGGGGGTCTGGGTTTGGAGCACAAAGGGTACTTCTCTTCTCTCGGTTGCCCTATTGTTAAAGTAGGTTAGTTAAATCAAAATACAACTCAACTGGGAACCATATTATGCATGCACTTTGGACTTCCTGACTGGCTCTAATTCAAGGCTGGTTGAGAATAACTCATTCTTTCAGAAACACTTCTACAGATGAATACTGATGATGATAATTATGATAATAGTTATCATTTCTTGAGTGCTTACTATCAGCCAGGCATGAGGCTAAGTACCCTACACATTCTATTTAATACTTTCAACATGCCAGTGAGTCAGGAGTTATTCTGACTTTACAGATAAAGAGGGTAACATAACTGCTTGGGATCACAAAGCTACCAGGAGAGCTATAGCTATTCCAGGCCTGTCTGACTCTAAACCCTGTGAATATAGTGCTTGCTTGTCTTGTGCCAGGCACAGTGCTAGAACCTGGAGATACACTGCCCATGAAGATGCAGGGAAATAAATCCTGGGACTTGAGCTTCTAGTATAGGGAAAGAACTAGAGAGCTATAATTGCTAAAAAGCCCTGATTGAAAGCCACAAAGGCTGCCAAATTCTGAGGATAAGTCCAACCTGAAAGCAGAAGAGCATAGCCCCTTCATTAACTGGGAGGGCCAGGGCTTCCTCTGGAATGGTTTCTCCACTGAATTCTATCCACACTTGGTCGGAGTATGGTTATTCCCAGCTCAGATTAGGGGCTGGAAGTCCAAGAGGGAAGGGAAAGATAAGCCCATCATAGATGAATGTAGGGAACTGACTCTTGCAGGACTGGAGGGGAAGAGAAAGAATATCTATGGCCCCTGTCTTGGTGACATTAACAATGAAAAGTCCATTTTTCCACCTCCACTGTTCAAACCAACTTTGGAGGTAAATTATGTATTTGAATGCCATTGGCTTTGTCATAAGATGTCTATAACAGTGGGACAGAAGCAGTGTGATACAGAGCTTCAATTTTTGGCCTTATTTTGGCATGATTAGGGGAGACATTGTAAATAGCAAAACCAGAAATGTCCAAAACCAGTCTGTTTTTAAATGTCACCATTTTTATGGCTAAATTCTTTTGCTTAAAATTTAACCCAAACTAGAATGCATGCCAGTAATTCTCTGTTATGATTGTGTTGTATTTTCATACAATATCCTAATACTTATTCTCTAGGTAAAAATCTGGCTCCCTTAATCATTTAACAAAGCCAAGATTAAGTATATCCTCTTGATTTGAGAAGGGTATATAACCCAAACAGTTGACTTAGGTAATTATATTTCTCTTTTTTTTTTGTCTTTCTCTACCTGCTTTATTTCACTTCACATCATGCCCTCTAGGTTTACCCATGTTGCTGCAAATGACAGGATTTCTTTAAGACCAAATAATATTCCACTGTGTGTGTGTGTGCATATACACATCTTCCTTCTCCTTTTATCTGTCCAGTCACTGAGGCTGTTTCCAAGGTAATTATATTTCAAGAACTTTAGGCCCACAAAGTGGACGTCACCCACCTGAAGTTCTGAGTGTTCTTTTAGGAGTCGGTCGTATTCTTTTGAAAGTCTCTCTGATTGCATCTTCATTATCATCACATCATTCTGTGCCTTAGAAAGGGCTAGAAAACAGTGAATAGAATTTTTTTAATGTTCATTTTGAAATAATTTCAAACTTACAGAAAAGCTGCAAGACTCTCTTGGAGCCGTTCCTCAAATTCACCAGCTGATGCAGTACACCTGTTATTGCATTCTCTCTCTCCACACACATACAACTATTTTCTTGAACCATTTGAGCCTGAGTTATAGAATCATGCCCCTTTACTCTTCAGTACTTCATTGTGTATTTCCTAAGAACAAAGGTATTTTAGTATATAACAATAGCAGAGCTACCAAATTTAGGAAATTTGACATCAATACGTTCATCTAATCTACCAGCCAAATTCCAGTCTTGGCAATTGTCCTAATTATGCCCTTTTTACAATTTTTTTTTTTCACTTTGAGTCCAGGATCTAGTCCTAGATCAAAGATTAGTATTAGTTGTCATGTCTTTTTAGTTTCCTTCAATCTGAAACAGCTCCTCAGCCTTCTCCCTGCCCTCTATTCCTATTTCTTTTTTCAATGACATTCTGAATACAGGCTACGCTTCCCACTTACATATGACATAAATGGTGTTGAATGTTTCTCAAGGCATCACATCCAGAGGCCCATCTGCCTCTTACCAGTTTCTCCATTTCAGAGTTATTTTCCTCCTTATAATTAAGAAGCAGTATGTGGGAAGACAATTATGTCTATGTAAACATCCTGTTCCTTGTCAAAACTTCTCCCTTATATTTAGCATCCACTAATAATTCTTGCCCAAAGCAGTCTTTATTATGATGGTTGTAAAATGGTGATTCCAATTCACCATTCCATCCATTTTCAATCAGCATTCTAATATAAAAGCCTTCCTTTCTCCATGCATTCATCCATCCGTCTACCTGCCTATCAATCCATCAACATTATGAATTCATACCTTCTTATTTTTTCAGTGATTTGTAACTCATTACTGTACTTAATTTCCCCCAGATTTAGCAAGTGGTAATCCCCTTCAGGATGGCTCTTAGTCCTCTATGATCTTATCAGTTTTTGAGTACTTTATTTTCTGGCACAAGATGTTCCAGGCTAACTGTAACTCTTCCTTGGCTTAGCTTGGACTCAGCCAATATAGAACAGAATTTATTGGAAGGGTCTGCTTTTGAAAAAAACTGAATGAAGAAAAACATTTTACCAATCTTACTGAGAGATGGGAGGCCACATTTCCTTAAGAACAAAGACAATCACTTTCGTACACAAAGTTGACAAATATAGGGCCGTATTAAGTGGCACTTTAAGGCTTTACCTCAAGACGATACATAAAAATGGGTATATATTAGCCTTTGTTTCCCAAGGAGCTACAGTCTAAGTCAACAGATTAGATACAGGTTTAAAATAAGATATATGTCATAAACGTTTAAGTCAACATATTGTGGAGAAGCTAATGAGCAAATGTGCAGAAGAGAAGAGCACCACAAAATGGATTGGAGAAATTATGGGACTCCTGAACTAGCTTTACATATAATTCTGCACATTTAGCCTTTAGAAGTTTTGTGTTTGTAAATCTTTTAGGGTAGGAGTTTTAGGATTTCTAAATTTAGAAGTCACTTTTTTGGCACAATGAAATGAATTATAGCTTCTATTTATAGACAATCTGGTTGTCTTTGTTCTTATTCTTTATAAAAAAGCCATCACAGGGGCATTTATATATTAAAAAAAATAAATCACTATCAACTAAAGTGCCTTTTATATTAATACTTTCTAGACAATTTTGTCAAATTAAACTTTGCATAGTTCTACATCTATATTATCCAATAATACTCTACATCTGTGTTGTTCAACATGGTGGCCACATTAGTGCAACTGAAGAACTGAATTTTCAATTTTACTCAATTTTATTTAATTTTATACTAGCCATGTGTAGCTAGCTAGCAGCTAGCCATATTGGACAGCAAAGCTTTATACTTTCTTCCTTACTTCTTTAGACCCATAAATCTAAATTACGTATTAAAGGTTGAATTTGACAGACTTATTGTCACTTGGTCAAAGTAAGGGTTAGGTATGGAAGTGATTTTTGGTAGTGGTTAGATTTCACTGGGACCACAGCCACAGAGTAAAGACTTATATATTAGTTTTCAATTTAGGTTCTACAAGGCATTTCCTAGAGGCTACTTGAAAATATGAAACACGTTGTTATCTTCAGACCTTACTAAAGATCTTTAGAAGCCTGGATTTCTGGCATATAGAAAGCAAGGAAGATCCCACAGTCTAGTAATGTCTGACTAGCCTATAATGGTGATTTTAAGAATGTTAGTCAGGAGCAAGAGGGTCTAAGGTCGCAGCACAAGATTCTGAGCTCACTTCCTCCCACAGACACAACAAATGGAGTAATTTGTTATTCTTATGGAATAATTCCATACTATATATGGAATAGTTCCCCCTGAAGGAAACCTACAAGTAGGAAATCCCCACTGAAGGGGATGAACACAGGCTTCACAAGAAGGGATGGCACAGAGATGGGTAGAAAAGAGAGATACAGTATCAATAAAGGGGGAAAAACAAACATACCCAGGTGTACTGTTCCAGTCAGGAGGGATCTCAAAGGTACAGAACATTTCCCTGAGGAGCAGGAGATTCGAGCTCCACATTAGCACCCAACCCTTAGATCCTGCACAGGAAAGATGAGCCCCCAAAATACCTGTATTTGAAAACTAACAAGAATACATCTAGGAAACTTACTGAACTGTAGGGGAAGCAAAACCTACTCTTAAAAGGCTCATGCACAGACTAGCTTGACCTAGAAAAAGAAACAAACACATCAGATGGAAAAGTGCATAAACAGGGGAAGGATATCCACTGACTAATCTTGGAATGCCTGCTGGAGAGGCAGGAGGCAACTGGGCCTTTTCCTGGGGACTGAGATACTGGTGGCAGCCACTGTCACTAAAGCATTCTGCCACGCTGATCCTGATGCTGGCAGCTGCCATTTTGGAATTTTCCTTCTAGACTATTAACACCAGGGGTGTGCCCTGCTGAGAGCCCCACATAAAGCTGTGCCTTGACAGGCCCCATCTGCCAGCATGCCCATAGCAGTGTAGCCAGCCATGTTGCAACTGGGCCTCACATTCATTGTTGGGCTGGGAGCTAGACCTGACAGTGTGCTGCAGTAGTTCCAGTGTTCCCACAACAGGAGACATAGACAGCCCACATAGGGAATACCCCTGGAGAATCTGGCTCTGGTGGCCAGGGAGGGATTGCACTTCCAGGTGCCACAGGACATCTATATAGGCTGCTCCTTCCAGACTGGGAGATGTAGCTCAACTACCTAATACATAGGAACAACACAGACAGTTAGGTAAAATGGGGAGATAGAGTAATACATTTCAAATGAAAGAATGAGACAAAATCTCATAAAAAAACAAAGCAGATGAGTAATCTGATAAAAATTTCAAAGTAATGGTCAAAAGATGCTTATTGAACTTCGTAGGATGGATGAATACAATGAGAACTCAACAAAGTGAGAAAATAGTAGCATGCACAAATCAGAGCTGAAGAATATATTAACAGAAATGAAAAATACACTAGAGGGAATAAACAACAGATTAGATTATACAGAACAGATCAGTGACCTGGAAAACAGGGTAATGGAAATCACCTAAACTGAATGGCTAAAAGATAAAAGAATCTGAAAAAAAAAAAAAAGTTTAAGGGACTACTGAAACAACATCAAATCTACTAACATTCACATTACAGGGGTCTCAGAAGGAGAAGAGAAAGACAGAGAGGGGCAGAAAACTTATTTAAAGAAATAATAGCTAAAAATTTCCCTGACTTAGGGAAAGAAAGAGACATCCAGGTTTAGGAAGCACAGAGAGCCCCAAACAAATGTACCCAAGGTGGTCTACACCAAGACTCATAATAATTACAAAACAACAATTAAAGATACAGAGAGAATCTTAAAAGTAGCAGGAAAAAAGCAATAAGTTAAGTAAAAGAGAACTCCCATACAACTATCAATTGATTTTGCAGCAGAAACTTTATAGGCCAGAAGGGAATGGCATGACATTTTTGAAGTGGTGAGAGGAAAAAGCTCAAGCTAGGAATGCTATATGAGCATGGTTATCATTCACAGTTGAAGGGGAGATAAAACAGTTTCCTAGACAAGTAAAAGGTAAAGGAGTTAATTATCACTAAACTGGCTTTATAAGAAGTAGTAGAGGTACTTCTTTAAGTGAAAAGAAAAGGCCATACTAGAAATAAATTGTAGGAAAGAAAAAACATCTCATTGGTGAAGGCAAACATATAGTAAAGGTAATGCAACCGGGTATAAAGCTAGTATGAAGGTTAAAAGACAAAAGCAGTAAAATCAAGTCATTGTATAACTCAATTGTATATCTATAATATTTACTAAATTTAATAAATTAAATATTGTATATCTACCATAATTAGTTAAGAGATACAAACACAAAAAGAGATATAAAATATGATGTCTGAAACATAAGGTGTTGGGGAAAGGAGTAATATGTAGTGTTGTTAGAATATGTTCAAATTTAAGTGACCACAAACTTAAACTGTTATATACATAGGGTGCTATATATGTACCTCATGATATCCAAAAACCAAAAACCTCTGAAGGATACACAAACATAAAGAGAAAAGAATCCAAACATAACACTAAAGTCCTCGAATAACAAGAAAGCAGAATACAAGATACCTTTGAAACCAAAATCAGTCAAAGGGAGAAATAAAGTTTAAAAGCCTGTTTATTTCTTATAAACAGTTGTCCCATCTCCTGACCAGGCTGTAGCAGAAGAGAGGGCTCCACCCAACCTCTCTGGTCCAGATAAACCCTCCCTTGCCCATGTAATTAACAATTGATATGGAGATTAACTTACTCTCTCCACCCCTTGGAAACACCTATTGATATGCAGATGCACTAAAGCCAGGTGGGAGATTTTGGAAATATTGCAATTTTACCCACACAACTCATGTGTAAATATTGAGTATTCATCTCTAGAAGTTGAAGCCTCATTTTTAACAAAGCCAC